AATCCCCACAGACAGTTATTGATGATGCTCTGATAGATTAGCGGTGGATTCTTTCATCCAAAAGGCATTCTGAGCCATTGGAAATGGCCGAACGGACAGACAAATGCCGAGATCAGTTTCGCACGTTCGGTCATTCGCACTGCCCAGAATCCACTCGCCATGTCGAGACTCATAAACCACATTGCGGACTTGAAGTCTACAAGCAAGTCATCGATCAAGGGCAGATGGTAGCGAGATAGCTTTATGAGCAGATTCAGAAGTCGGTAATCAATACACATTCGGATGTCTATGCCGTTTTTCTTCAGCACAATCACAATAGCTGATGACCACTCGGACTCTGAATGCTCAATGAGCTCTGCCTCCAACAGCTTCTTCAGGAGTTCGAACACCTTCACCAAGAAAGGTGCGGCAATCTGCCTAGCACGTAAAGCCACTGCTTTTGCTTCACCAACGTCGATATCCCATACGTCCCTAGCCGGGGCTGGAGCTGCGTTACCATCTCCGAGGAAGATGCTGCGATGGCGTTTCGGGATCCCTCTCATCTTGGCTTCCATCTCTGGAGTTGTGACCCCTGGAACTCCGACATTAGCTTCGTCGATGTTACATTCTGGGGTCAGTTCCTCAATTTCTGGGAGTATGATAAGTTGGTCTCTTAACTGCGCCATCAAATCACTTCCTTCCCTGCGATACACAGCGGGCTCTAGATCCAGTTCTTCGGCAGAGACTCGCATTACCCGAGCATATTCTGCCTCCAGCTTTTGGACCGTTGTCGAACAGCTCGTCTGTGACTGGACATCCACTGACGATTCAGGGGCCATGCATGTCTCCATATTCGTGATTTTCCCACCATCCGTACCTTTGACCCGGTTTCAACGGTACTTCCAAAAGGATCCTGAAATTTAGGCTCAGAGATCTCTGCAATCGGGTCATCTGAACGCTGATACTCTGAGTACAATTGTTCAGGGTAGATGATTTCATCTTGAACTAAATTCATGCATTGGTGGTTATCTTGTAGTTGCGTCCTTCGTTCTGGTCCTATACAGACTAATACACACATTTCAGGGGGGTTCTTAGGCCCGTCGCGTACCGGATCCCCATCCGGCGGGCTTATTGGTTTAACTGCTGCGCCCCTGAAGCCTGGTCCTTGGTCTGAAGGAGACTTCGAAATTGAGTTGGCAATTTACTTGCATTTCCTTGCTTCGCCAATGTCATCACTGACTGAAAATCGTCCCATTGTTCACACGATATTCCACCGTGAAAACCTCCACATTCTGCACAAGGGGTTCTGGTACTAACTCTGACCGGGTGCCCCTTGGCTTGGCATCGTTCATATATCATTCCGGTCCAGCAGTTGACTTCAGGGTGTCCCCACTTCCTACACTTCTCACAGAAGACGTCCAAATTCTCTGGTCGTGTT